TCCTTGTGTCCCCGGTGAACACATGGAGCTCACACCAGCAGTGCCTCTTGCCTGTTCCCTGCCCAGCCAGACCTTCCAGCCCAGCTGAAATGCCCAGCGTGGCCTTTGAGCACAAAGAGATTGCAGAGCCAAAAGCATCTGTGTAGCCACCATGGTGTTCAGTGGCTGCTGCTCGGGGAAGGGCACTGAGAGGAGGCCACTGCTGCTCTTGTCAGAGCGCTGCTGTGCAGGGATGTCCCTCGCCCTGCTCAGTCCCACATCTGCCCATCTTTTGGCCTGCTCTGAGCTCAGGTGGATGCCATCTGCTCCCAGCAGACCCAGCTGCTCCACGGTAGATGCACAGACATGGAATCCAAAACCTTGAGTATCCCCTGAGTAGCCAGGCATTCAGCTGTTCAGTTTGTCACGACCCACATCAGGGGTTAGAACAAGATGGTTTTTCAGATTCCTTGTGACCTGAACCATTCCAGGATTCTAGGATTTCTCCATGACTGACTTTGGTCCCCTCAAAAGACCTCCTCTCTCCTCTCTTCCCTCCACCTGTGGAGAACGCATTCTGATGCTGCTGCTGCTGTTGGGACAGGTTGGTGGATACTCTTCCTGCCATCCTATGGGAGTAAGCATGACTCCTCTCTGAAGTCTTTGTCCCTGAATCAGTGCCTTCAAATAACAGTTATCTCCCCTCCTTCCTTTTCCATTCAGCACTTGAGCACACACAGCATTTCTCATCGTTTCCACAGAACAGTACAGGTGCCAGTTCCCATCTTGTGGAGCCCTCTGCCATAAATCAGCCTGACAGGTTTATTCTCTGTGTAATGGGAAATGATGACAAGTGCAGCTGCATAATCTAGTTAGCAACTTTCCATAATGACTGCCTCTGGGGGGATTTATGGGTTTTGTCATATGTGAGCTTTCAGAACTCTAGAGGTTACATTTTTCACACTTTTTTGTTGGAATCTCAGTTTATCAGATTTTACTGCAGCATTAATCACATGCAGTACAACCCTGGACTTCACAAATGTATCACAACACCATGAAAAAGGCAGAGAAAACAAGAACTGTTGTGAATTAATGAGCCGGGTAACACATGTCTCACAACAGCGATGAAACAACCTGTGTTCTTCTTCAAGCCGCATCAGAAAGTCCCAAAGTCTGGTTATTTAATTTTTTTTTTCACAAAACACAGGCAGCAGCAAAGAACTGAAACAACACAGCCAGGCTTGAAACCTGAAAGATCTGCAAGGCTGAGTCTATCCTAGTTAATGGTGAAATGATGTGTGAATCTGTCCTAGATGTTCAAATGAAGAAGATTGATTCACAGTTATAATATGGCTTCTAAGCAAAACACTGGGATTATATAGGAGAAATGCGTGTGCCATGAAACAACCAAGAAATCAGAGAGACAGTTCCAAGCTCTACTGTGAAGGTCTGGGAAATGTTCAGAGTTACCATCTATGGAGTTTGGTGCAGGATAAACTGGAACAAAAGGCCATCATTACCCAAATTGATTTCCTTTGGGCTCTTTTTTTTGTTTGTTTTTGTTTTTGTTTTGTTTTTTTTTTGTTTGTTTGTTTTTTGGGTTTTTTTTGTTTCTTTTTTTTTTTTTGTCAGATAGTGTTTTATAATACTCCAAGAAATATGTTGAAAAGGTCAGCATGATCCATCAGACACAAGCAGGGGGGCTGGGGTAGATGCAACATGTTCCTTGCACTGGAGGGTAGACAGAGGCAAGATCTGGTTTGGGGTCAATCACACATGGATCAGGGAGGTGGCTGAAACCTGGGCTGGCCAAAGCCTTAGAATCACAAAATATCCTGGGTTGGAAAGGACCCCCAAGAATCACCAAGTCCAGCTCCTGGCCCTGCAGAGGACACCTCCCCAAGAATCCCACGCTGTGCCTTGGCATGTGCTGGTGGGCAGGAGCACAGAGCTGGCTGTGGCTTTGGGTGCATGGGTAAGATGAGATGGTGAGGAGCATCCTTGCTCCCTGAGCTCCTGGAGAGCTGCAGACACTGATCACTGGTAAGGACACCACCAGGGGCATGGCCTGGGGTTGGTGATCTGGTGTCTCCTTCCTGCTGCTGCTTTCTGCTACAGATAACAGCTTGGTGCCAAGGTCTTGTTGCTGAGGTGATAAACGGCTGGGGAGATTCCCTCCCTGCTCTTGTCTGCACAAGTTCTTATGCCCAGCACCAGGAAGGATTGGGCCAGAATGGAGGCATTTGGGGTCTCAGGGCTGAGGCTGAGACAGACAGCCAGGCAGAGCAGCTCCTCCTGGCTGATGCAAACATTGGCCCTGTGCTGGCCAGGCCAGTGATCCATAGCTATGGGTCCACAGTTATGGTGGTGCTGGGTATTCACTGGGAGAAGAGGAGGTGTAAAATGAAGCTTCTGAAGCTGCTTGGGATCCTGGAAGCTGCTCAGACCCCACTTGACCACAGTGGTTGTTTGGCCAGCTGAAGTGATGGAATTTATTGGGCGGTGCAAGGACAGTTTTCTGTGCAAACATGAAGGACTTTCAGGGGGGATGAAATACAGCCTCATAGTAGAAACAGCTGGGCTGAACACTCTTTATTCCAGCTATGAATCTTTGCTCTTAAGAGCAACAGATTCCACCTTTTATTAAACCAGAACTTGTTGTTGTTGTCGTTGTTGTTGTTATTTTGAGGAACATAAATGACCTTTCTTGTTTATTTTATTAACATTTTAAATCATCTGGTCACCCACTGCATGCATGAAACATGAGATGTTACCAAAGTGTAGCTCACTTCAGACAGTGAGTGCTGACAGTTGGCAGATCTGTACAGGTGTCCTCATCCTGTGTGCATTGGATGTTATCCCATCCAAGCAGGCAGTTTAACACAAGCAGCTATTTCACTAAGCTTAATTAACAACAGAAATAAAAACTATATCTTTATAGCAAAGTTGCTTTGACATCTACCATCACTCAGCGAGAGGTTTATTGTTATGGACACATAATATTGCCTTTTTGCAGAGATTAAAATGGATTTTCTATCTGTGGTGTTAAAGTAACTTTGTTATTGTCTTGGTTTGAAAAGCCAGGTGTCTGCTAAGGAAGGCAGGAGCCTCTCCTGTAATGGAAAATGTAAACCCCCTCCCTCTGAATTGTTATAATTTTGAAATTAAGGAGCTTTCAGGCAAAACATGGGAATAGGAATAACAGTTCTTTTTTAGGAAAAATTAAAAATATAAATGCAGTAGTAAAAACAAAAAATCCCCACTGACAGAATCAGAACAGGCCTGACACCCTGTGGGTCAGGGTGCTGGCAGCAGTCCCATTCAGTGGTGGCTGCAGCCCTCCTGCAGTGCCAGGTGTGGCTCTGTTGGAGCAGGGATACTGGAGAAGGGTGGAGTTTTCCTCTGAAGGTCCAGGGCTGCTGTAGATGGGCCTGGGAATCTTCCTTCCTCTTGGAATCCAGCTGGAAAAGGCTTATCCTCTGGGAATCCAGTGGAAAAAGGCTGATTCTCTGGTATTGGAATATAATCCTAATATTACTAGGTGGAACGTGCCTGGGCTCATCTGACCCTTGCTGCTGGGCCAAAGGCAGCAGCTGTGGTATTTCACCTCAGAGACACCTTTGGCTGGCTGGAAGTTGCAGTTAGGCACTCGGAACAAGTCCAGGCATGGCAGAAACTCAGTTTACCTCTGATGGAAAGGCTCCAGGCTAGGTGAAGAGGAAAAGGAGATGGATTCTGCAGAGGGTCTGATCCAGAGTTTTATTCCAAGGTCACATATGTCTGAATCTTTGTAACAGCTCCACAGAATCCCAATCGCATGGTCTCTGTGTCTTTTAAGCTCGGGGGGAGGGGGAGGAAAGGGACAGGTGAGCCACCAACCAGGTGGGAGGGGCGGGGTCTCCGGGGACAAGTGAGACTTGGCTAACCCAATGACCCCAGGGCTGAGGGGCATCTTTTGAACTTTTGCCAATCACACGACGCCCCTGCTGGAATGATAAGATTGACTGACAGCACTTGGCAAGGAGGCAAGGGGGAGGGGAAGGGAGAAGGTATTGCCACACTTGGGAAACTACTGGGATAGCTGAAACAGGAAATGGCATCACACTGCAACATCCTGGGAATCCAGTGGAGAAGAAAGCTGCTCCTCTGGGAATCCAGTAGGAAAAGGCTGCCTACAGTGTTCCAAATCTCAGATTCTATCCAGGTAGGAATCCTTGGCTCCTCCCCCTGAGTGGAGCATCTCCCAGTGGGATGATGTCATTTTATCAGCCATGCAGTGACACTCAGTGGACCATTACCAGAAGATAATTAATAATTAATGGCCTATTAATGGAACACACCTCCCCACAGGGAGGATTGGTTGTGGAAGAGAGAAACTGCCCAATGAACAGAAGATAACTGCCCCACCACTGACAGATGGCAAACAGAACACACACTTATCTTGCAGTCCAGGACCTGTTCTCACTGGCTGCCCCCATTCTCCAGAGTTCATGGTGTCCAGGGAGGCTGCAACTGCCAGTGCCAGGAACAAACGAGATGGGTCTAGGTTTCAGAAAGCTCCAGAATCCATTTCTGACCCCCAAAAGACAGGGCAAAGGCAGGGCCATGGGGTTTTTATGGGGTATCCCAGGGCTGGAGTTTGGGTTTGGGTCAAGGGAGGAGTTCTTAGCAACACAAGAAGGGTGAGATCAAATTCCTGCCTCTTAGCAACAGCAGCACTCCACACAGAATGTGTCCCCAAATCCTAAAATCCCCCTCAAACACCTGAAATGGTGGGAATGTAGACATTTTTGATCAATTTATTTATTTTAACACTGTTTTGGCTGTTTTTAAGGGATGAAAATGAAGCAGAGGAAAATTCAGGCCAAACCAAAAGGAGAAGCAGCCAGGTGTGTTCCCAACATAGATCACATGGAATGTGGGGCACCAGGGCTATGCCCAAAGTGCCTCCTCCAGTGGGGGATGGAGCTGCAGCAGCGCACGAAGCTCTTCCCGTGCTCAGGGCACTCGCAGGGCTTCCCTTACCGGTGCCTCCGTTGATGTTTGGTCAAGTTAGAGCTCTGTGAGAAGCTCTTCCCACACTGGGGACACTCGTAGGGCCTCTCCCCAGTGTGGATGCGCTGGTGGGTGACGAGGTGGGAGTTGTGCCTGAATCCCTTCCCGCAGTCGGGGCACTGGAAGGGCCTCTCCTCTCTGTGAATCTGGTAGTGCCGGAGGAGATTGGAGCTGGTCTGAAACCTCTTCGCACACTTGGAACACTCGTAGGGCCTCTCCCCAGTGTGGATCTTTTGGTGCATGATCAGGCAGCGATGCTGCCTGAAGCTCTTCCCACACTCCCCACACTCGTAGGGCCATTCCCCAGTGTGGGTCCTCTGGTGCACAATCAGGTGGGAGTTCCACCTGAAGCTCTTCCCACACTCCACGCACGTGTGGGGCTTCTCCCCATCATGGAGCTGCTCATAGAGCACCAGCTCCGAGCTCTGGCTCCATCTCCGGTCCCCTTCCCGGCCCAGGCTGGTTCTTTCCCCCTCACATCCCCGCCATCTGCGTTTGCAGCCCCTCCTTGTGTGGCATCTCCAGGGCTTTTCCTCCCCGTTGGCTTCCTGTGCCATGGAGCCGCTCAAAACGGCCTCTGCCACCAGGTTCTGCCACGGGCATTTGTCCTCCCTGCTCTCCATGCTCAGCTCCTGCTCTAGGCGAGGAAGGACAAGGACAGGATGGGATTTGCCTCCGTGCCACAGGCAAGGGCAACGAGATCCCCCCAGGGCTATGCTGCAGCCGGGGGCCGTGCTGGGCTGGGAGATGGAGCAGCACAGAGGGGAAAGGGGCACTGACTTCCTCCTCACCTGCCTCAGTGTCCCGGGGCACCTTACTCTTCCTTGCAGCCTCCCAAGGGTTGGGAATGGGAAATCCTGGTTTGGGGAAAACAAGGAGTGAGCACGTTTGTAGGAGTGCTGGGGGGTGGGATGGTTTGGACAGACAGAGACAAGAGATCTCTGCAGCCAGGTCATGGAACTTGCGGTTTATTGCAAAGGGCCTGGGTGCAGGGCCCTGCTTAGAGCTGCCAGCCACAGCTCGGAGCAGGCCTGAGAGAAGAGAGGGGTAGAGAGAATGAGAGGGGAAGAGACTAAGAGGGTAAGAGTGTAAGAGAGTAAGGTTCCCATTACAATACAATAAATCTTCTTCTGTGTTGAATATTCTATTTCTCACTAACCAATCCAGTACAAGATACAAATCCTATAGCATTTACATACAGCCTGCAAGAATCATTACATCACCATACTGTGTTACATTTTCAACCCTAAGAACTCCTCTTTGACCCCTTCTGCTGAGCTAGCAGGGTCTGCTCTGACCCTTGGACCTGTCAGCAAGCAGAGGGAGTTGTTTCATCAAAACGAGATTACCTTCGGTCGGGCCAGACCATTGTTTTCTATTTGTTCAGTAACTAAGGTATCTAAAAGCTTGCTTTCATTTCAATCTTGCTTATAGTTTCTATATTCTCAAAATCTTTTGCCAGACAATCATATTTATAAGGCTTCCCTCTTTCATCTTCCCCAACACTGGACTTATACCAGTATGAACTGGGATCATGCTGGAGGTGACTGGGATCATACTGGCACTGAGTGCCACTACACTGAGGCTGACTGGGAGTGCTTGGGAGCAAATGGAATCATACTGGAAGGAAGTCGGAGTGACTGGGAACATGCTGGAGAGAACTGGGCTATGCTGGAAGAATCTGGGAGTGACTGGAACAAAAGTGAGGGTGAAAGAGAGCAACTGGAACCATGTGGAGCACAACTGGTTCATACTGGCAGGGACTGGGAGCACACTGAGCTCCATTTTTGGATCATACTGGGAGGGACTGGACTAATACTGGGAGGATCTGAGAGCAACTGGGAACATACCCTGCACATCATCCCCCATACTGGACATGACTGGGAGCACGCTGGGAGCATGCTGGCAGCAAATGGCATCATACTGGGACTGACTGGGCTGATCTAGGAAGCAACTGGAACCATGCTGGAGGCAGCTGGGACCATACTGGGAGAGACTGGAAGCAACTGGGATTATACTGGGACCACCCTGGGAGGGCTGGCATGTGACTGGGATCAAACTGGAGCTTACTGGGATCATATTGGGGTTGAAAGGGAGCGACTGGGATCACACTTTGGGCTACTGGGAGCAGCTGAGGGAAACTGGGATCATGCTGCAAGCAAACTGGAGGAACTGGGGAGGACTGGATGCATGCTGGAGGCAACTGGGATATACTGGGCATGACTGGGGGATCATACTGGGATAACTGACACCTTACTGGGGCCACTGGCAGAGCCTGGGAATGACTGCAGACATGCTGGCGGCAACTGGGATATACTGGGAGTGTCTGGAACCATGCTGGGGGGACTGGAACCACACTGGGAACATCTGGGGCCACGCTGGGAACAACTGGGACCATGCTGGGGGCAACTGGGAGTGAGTGGGACCATGCTGGGAGGCACTGGGATCATATGGGGAGTGACTGAGATGAGAGCAGGGACAACTGTGTTCAACTGGGACCATCCCGGGAGTGTCTGTAACCATAGGGGAGTGATGGAAGCACACTGGGAACAGCTGGGCCCATGCTGGGAGCAACTGGGATCACTCTGAGAGTGACTGGAATCATGCTGGGATTGACTACGAGTAACTGGAATGGTGCTGAAAACAACTGGGAAGAGGAGGGAGTGACTGGAAACAAGCTGGAAGCAACTGGTATAAACTTGGAGAGACAGGGAATCACTGGGATTTTACTGGAGGCGACTGGGGTCATGCTGGCATGGTCAGAGAGAAACTGGGATCACACTGGAGGCACTGGCATCAGACTGGGAGTGACTGGGAGCAACTGGGATTAGACTGCAAGGGACTGGGATCATACTGGGAGTGGCTACACTCATACTGGCATTATACTGGCTGTGAATGGAACCTGACTGGGGCTTACTGGGAGCTACTGGGCCCATGTTGGGAGGAAAATGTGACCCACTGGGAGCAACTGGGATCGGCTGGAAGGTTCTCGAACCATGCTGAGAGGACTGAGACTACAACTGGGGCAACTGGGATCATACTGGGAGCAACTGGGGCCACCCTTTGAGCAACAGATGGAAACTGGGATGATGCTAGAGGAAACTGGGAGGAACTGGGAAAGACTGGGATCATTCTGAGGTAACTGAAACATACTGGGAGTGTCTCTAACCATCCTGGGAGCACTGGAACCACCCTGGGAACAGCTGGGATCATGCTGGGAGCAACTGGGACGATGCTGGGGGAAACTGAATCTACCCTGGAGGCAACTGGGCACGACTGGGACCCTGCTGGGAGGGACTGGGACTATTCCTGGGGCAACTGGGATCATAATGGGAGGAACTGGGAACATCTGGAATTATGCTTGGAGCAACTGGGATCACACTGGGATCATAGTGAGAGCAGCTGAGTCCATACTGGGTTACACTGGGATCTCATTGAGAGCGACTGGAATCACACTGGGATTGACTGGGAGTGGCTGGTTATGTGGATTTTGGGGGATTTTCTTGGCATTATGAGGGGGAGTTTTTCTGGGCTGAGAGGGTGTGGAGCGTTCTCAGGTGGGTTTAGGGGGAACTGAAGGAAATTGGGAGATTCTGGGGATTTTGAGAGGAACTGAAGGATTGTGAGTGGATCTGGGGGGTTTTGAGGTGGGTCTTGAGAAATTTGGGAGTCTGAGGGGATATCTTAGTGTTTTGGGGGGACTGAGGGATCTGAGGGGGATTTGGGGCAGTCTGATGGATTTGGGGGGTCTGGATGAATCTCAGGTGGGTATGGCTTAAATTTTGGGGTGAACTGAGGGGGTTTGAGGGCCATGGGGAGGTTTTGGAGGTCCTGGGGGAGGTTTTGGGGGTCCAGAGTGGTCCTGGGCCAAGCTTGGGGAGCTCTGGTGGAGTTGGCGTTCCTGGAGGGGTCCTGGGGGAGATTTGGGGGTCCCAGGGGGTCCCAGGCCCACCCTGAACCGGGGTCTGGGGGTTTCAGGGGGAGGGGGCACAGCAGGGGTTCCCAGCGATCCAGCAGGCGCAGGGCAGGAGGCAGCCGAGCCCCCTGCCAGGGGAACAGCAGCAGCCCACGAGTCCTCACCTCTGCCACACACTGATTCTCATCATGGCAGTGGAAGAAGAGTGCAAGCAAGCTCTGTTGCACAGGGCTTTCCAAAGGGTTTTCTCTCTCTTCCAAATACTCCATCATGTCTCAGAAGAGTTTGATGGAGAGCAGCTGTACCTGGCTATTATCCTGTAGGAAAAAAAAGGAAAAACTACCTCAGCATTGGCTCCTGCAGGCCCCCTGGGCACAGGGCTGGAAATGCACAGGGCACACAGTTTCCAGGCAGCAGCCAGTGGCTGTGGCTGGGGGCACAGAGCCTTACGTGGTCAAAGAGTGGCAGGAGTGCCTCAGCCAGCTGCAGGGCAGTGGGGGTTGACATCAGAATATGTGACTCGTGCAGGAATAGAAAGCTGAGTGTGATGAGGGTCATGCCAGCTATCTCTGCATCACTGTCCCACAGTAGGTCCATGAGGCATTGGGTCAGGCTCCACATTCTTTCGGCCTGTGCGGAACACAAGTCTGTGAAAGGCCATCCTGCTGCCACAGGGCCCAGATGCCAAAGGCCTGTCCCAAAGCACTGGGAGCGCAGCTTCAGCCACTGCTCCCTTCTCACCATTGAGGGATCATCAATGAGCTCCAGCAGGGCCCTGAGTGCCAGGCGACGCCTCTCCCTGCACTCGCTCTGCAGGTACCTTGAAGAGACCTTCACAACACTGTCACCACATTCACTGGCATCCAGGCACTGGAGGAGCTGAAAGGCACAGGCCAGTGATGGGGGAGCCGGCCGGCAGGAGCCCGGAGCCGCACAGGGCTGGACCCAGGCAGCAGCAGCAGCAGCAGCAGCAGCAGCAGCACAGGGCGCGGGCAGTGTCCCAGGCGGCTGCAGCTCCCAGAGGGCAGAGAGCTGGGAGGCAGCTCAGCCAGGCAGCGCTGCACACCCGGCTCACCTCCACAAGGAACGCCAGGGCGGGCAGATCCCAGTGTGGCTCCTGTGTGCTGAGCAGCCAGAGGAGGTGGAGTGCAATACTGGAGCTGAACCGAAGACAAGCATGGCGCATCTCCCTAGGAGGGCGAAAAAGGGACCAGGAACCTGAGGAAATCTCTCCAAGGACAGGCTTGCAGAGCCTGCTGGTCTTTCACCACCGTCCTGCAAGGGGACCTGGGCCCTTTAGGAGGTGTCTCCTCCTGTGCTCTCTCCCTTCCCAGTCTTTTCCAGTCTGCTTGGGCCGACCCTTGGTGACAAGGCCCTGTATCCCAGGGCCACGGGGACTGTGTGGGACAGCCCGGGCACAGGGCACAAATGCCAGGAGCAATGGGGAGAAGGGGAGTCTCACCTGGCCAGCAGACCCACGGCATAGTGGCGGGTGTCAGCACAGAGCAGCGTGTCCCAGCCACGCTTGCGTTCCACTGACACCACCACCTCCTTGTACTGCTTTCGGCAGAGCAGGGACTTCAGGCTCTGCACTGCAAACCTGTGTGCACAGCAAAGGCCAGGTCACCCTGGCAGCACTGGCTCCTTGGCAGGCCACGTGG